CCCACTTATCAATTATTGATCCTGGAATATCCAACCATTGCGTGGTGCTGTTCGATCCTCTGATTCCTCCACCTAATCGTATTGTAAAGTGTCAGATTAGATTTCGGAATATAAAATCAATCAAGGGAAATGTTTTACTCTGAAATTCTCAACCCCGACACTCTCTGAAGTATACCCAGCTACTGTGGAAACAACGGTGCAAGTTTACAATACATTAAACAGTATAATGGATAATTGGTTTGTTACCCTTTTATCTGGCAACAAAACTGACACCTTTTTTACAAGGAGTCATGTTTGCATTGACCACAATACCTGCAGTCGGAATGCAAACAAAAAACATAACTCTGATAATGTATGCACTGTCCTTAAAATTGATTGGTCCACACCCGAGACAGCTTTCCTTAGAGCCTAGTCTCACATGGTGTTGGACCAGATGACGCCAAAAGGCGCACAACTCAAAGACAATGCACCATCTGGTCCAACACCAAGGACAGTGCATATATTATCAGAGTTATGTTTTTTGTTTGCATTCTGACTGCAGGTATTGTGGTCAATGCAAACATGACTCCTTGTAAAAAAGGTGTCAGTTTTGTTGCCAGATAAAAGGGTAAAAAACAAATGATCATATTTTGCTACTGGCAAATGAGGTTCCAATGGAGTATAATGGATAGTTTGGCCCCCCTGAAATCACACAATCTCGGCGGTAAAATCTTTACCCTGGTTATAACAACAAACTTCGTGCACATAAGGCAACTGTCCGCAAGGCAGAGCGATCTTGGAGGAAATCTGGTCCTACAATCCACTCACTAATCTTCAACCACCACCCTACAATTTACAGAAAGGCACTCGACCATGCCCGCTACTGTAGCCAATGCCTGGAATAACCCTCGATTATTTTTCTACGGTTTAAAGGCTTCTTCATTCATCCTGTGCTTCTCCTTTCTAGTGTACAAAAGCAAATGCTGACCATTATTTTTTTACAAAATCAACACAATTTGCTTTTCCATTACATCTATCCCTCTTCCTACAATTCTGCCAACTGTTCCGTCACCACTGCTGATATCTGATGTCTGTGTATTATCCGAGCTCTCAGAATCAGACGTTGATTCATGGATTGTGAGTTCCAAACCAACCTATTGCTCTGTTGATTCTATTCTTTTAAATGTATTCATGCTAATTTTCCATCTCGTGCAGTCTTTATTACCATGGTTCTTAATATATTCTAGATTTGAAGCTTTCGTGACTGCAAGGATTCATACTCTTAGTTTTTTCGGTAAAGTCACGGAGACTTGTGTTGCCTCCAAAACGTCGTGATTTTTATTATTTTATTTTTATTAATTTCATTTTTTTCACCTACGTGACTTTACCGGAGTATGTGCTTAACACACTCAAATCTGGTCATTTCCCCTCTCTTTTTAAATGTGCCGTTGGCAGTCCTATACTCAAGAAGGCTGAGCTCGATTTAGAACTCCTCAGTAATTATCGTCCAATTTCCAACCTGCCACATCTCTTCAAGACCCTTGAGCCTTCAGTAACATTACAGCGTAAACATTTGCTTGGAAATTATCTTTTTGACCATTTTCAGTCCAGTTTTAGGTCTGGCCACAGCGTGGAAACGGCTCTGGTTATGGTTGTCAATGACTCGCTGATTGCTGCTGATGAGGGCCAGCCTAGCATTCCTTTCCTTTTAGGCCTGAGTGTCTGCATTTGCCACCATTGATCATTCCATTTTTCTCCAGCGTTTCAAAGGACATATGGTTTCCTTCATACCTATCTGAGCCGAAACAGTTTGTCAGCCTGGGAGGTGTCCTCCCAGGATTTAGTCCTTGGCCTACTTTTGTTCTGCATATATTTGGCCCCACTTGGCCTCATCATACACTAACTTGGACTTTGCTTTCATTGTTACGCTGATGACACCCAAATTTACATTCACTTTGAATCCTCCCTCAATGCAACATCTAGTGTGTCATCTTCTCTTGTGACCATTAAGGCTTGGATGCAGCTTTCAACTGAAGAAAGATAGACTACATCCATGCCTTAATGGCACCAATGGTCATCAAGGCTGCCTTCTTTCACCTCAGAAATATAGCCAGATTTCATCCCATTAGCGGTCATGTTCCAAAGTGGAGTTCAAGATCCTTCTCACCTACAAGCCCCTTGACAATGCCTCCCCCATCCATAACCTCCTCCACCCATATGTCCCAACGAGAGTTCCTCGGTTGTCTGAGCGTGTAGAGGTCACACCTCCGTTCAGTGGATGCCAATTCACATCCAATATTCGATCTGCTGAGTCCCTCGGTTGATTTAAATCTTTCGCCTTAAAAATTTTTTCTCCACGGCCTTTTCTTCCCTTGTAAATTGTTGTGTGTTTTGGGAGTGGGGGTGTATTTATATCCGTGGATAAATCATGAGCCTGCGTGCTTATATTAGATTTTTGAATTGCATGAGTTATTTACTTGCTTTTAGCTCCGTGCAACGCCTTGAAACGAGCTTTATACGCGTAAATTATAATTATTATCAGAGCATGTTTGTTTGCATGTTTGCCACAAGTATGTGTAAGGTTAATGCAGTACTTGATTGCTTGCAATAGCAGGTGTGTCTATTTGGTGTTAGAACATCTTAACACCCATGTGTTTCATTGGTAGAAAGGGTTGATACGATATTTTCTTATTTTTCTTCCATCACAGTGGGACCGGACAGCAGAGCCCATTCGAGATTATACTCGTGTGATTTTGCATTTCTTAAATTACTATTTACAAATTTTTCACTCCCCCAGTCTGCTATCCTTATCTTCCCTCTTACCCTTTTCCCACCTGGGTGGAGCAGTGAGTGCCACGGTAGCTAAGGAGATGTTCACTCCCTCGCCTGGTGTGCAGGAGGTTTGTGGGTTCCAACTAGACCCCGATGCCTGCTCCACTTCTGAATAAGTATAACCCGTAAAAACAAAGTTTTTCACTATAAATCCTTTATATGCGTGGCAGCAAACTTAATATAAAGGATTTAAAAATATATTCGCCTGTGGAGGACGCAGGGATCGATCCCGCGACCTTTGGCATGGGAAGCGAGGGCGCTACCAACTGCGCTACTCCGCCACGGCCTGTGGAGGGGTTACGCTCTGGGCTCCTATACTGTGACGTTCAGCCAAAGCTATGAATGAGTTCTATTTGAATAAATGTAAAATCTTTTTTTTTTTACCTAAAAAGTGTTAAATTTTTTAAAAAAATTTTCACGAACATTAATTGTCTGTCAAAACGAGTCTGTGTGCAAAATGTCAGCTCGATTGGATCACGGGAAGTGGGTTAAAAAACGACCGAAAAATTTGCACGGTCGTAAGCAAGCAAGCAAGCACGCAAGCAAGTGAACTTAATATAAAGGTTTTAAAAAGAGCTATATAGCTCAGTGGAGCCTTACCTGGTTAATGAAACGTGGTTTAGTCTCTGGATCTCTGTGTATCTATGGATATCTAGATGTATATAAGGGTCTCTATGTGAATATTAATATATGGGACTCTATGCATCTAGAATTGAAGCTTTGGTGACTGCAGAAATGATACTCATTAACACAAAAATGTTTTAGCAGTCTTTTGAATACGTGGTCAACCAGGTTAGTGTCTAACTGTGATCTTGGCCGACTGGATTTCATCACATTATGTTTCTAAGGCTTGTTGAGTTCTCATCTCCCATCTTCTTGCTGTTTCCCTCTATGCAGCTATATGGGTCTCTATGTATCTTTGAGTCTATGTGTATCTACGGGCTCTATGGGTATCTATGGGTCTCTGTGTGCATCTATGGGTCTCTGTCAGAGGTCGCATATGGGTTTTGATTCCTTACCCGTACCAGGCCGCACCAGGGTCGCAATCGGGTACCCGTACCCTACCCGATACCCGGCTACCCGTACCCGGCCGGGTATCGGGTAGGGTACGGGTACGAGTACCCGATTGCGACCTCTGGGATGAAGCCATGTTGCAGGCGCGGGTGGGTTGATTCTAGGCACTTGAATTGTGAGAATAGACAAGACGTTGGGAAATGAGTGACAAACGGTGACTCACCAGTGACTCACGGCCTACTCGTACCCGTACCCGTACCCGGCCGGGTACGGGTAGCCGGGTATCGGGTAGAGTACGGGTATCGGGTACCCGGTTGCGACCTCTGGTCTCTGTGTATCTCTATGCATTTAGAGTATTTGGCTGCTGCTATTAATTTCCACGTGATGTTGATTGAGCTGTCATTTGTTATGGCGAGGTCACATAGCTCAGTGGGGCCCTTAGTTATTCAAAGTAATTTCACCGGCCAATATTATCATTTGCGATATGGACTATTCACGAGCATCTCCAGGGACATATCCCACCTTGGCAAATACCGAGGGAATACCGTAGACACTGGGACACGGTATGAGTTGCCAGTGTTGCAATTGCTTTGCTGGCGAGGCAGCAATGAAATATTAACAAAAACCCTCTCTCTTCATCTGTGTCTCTCTCCCTCCCCCATAGCTTTCTCGTTTTGGTGTTTACGATCAGAGGAAACAAGAAGATGCTCGGTGTAGTCGGCACTTTGCTTCGTTCATCATTTTTTATGCTTTGCTTTACGCCCCCCCCCCCCCCCCCTTTAAATGAAAGATTTAACAAAATATTTTTCTAATAGGTTTTTACCCTTTAAACTGGTACAAAACTGACACCTTTATACAAGGGATCATGTTTGCAATAACCACAACACAAGCAGTCAAAATGCAAACAAAAAGAAACAACTCTGATAATGATAATGATATGCACTGTCCTTGAAGTTGATTGGTCCACACCCGACACAGCAATGGAGACTAGGCTCTAAGAAAAGCTGTCTCGGGTGTGGACCAATCAACTTCAAGGACAGTGCACATCATTATCATAATCAGAGTTGTTTATTTTTGTTTGCATTTTGACTGCTTGTGTTGTGGTTATTGCAAACATGATCCCTTGTATAAAGGTGCCAGTTTTGTACCAGTTGAAAGGCTAAAAACCTACTATTATATTTTGCCACTGGTAAAGGAGGTCTCGTAGCGTAAAATATTTTTCACTCAGCTCTCCTTACCCCTTCCTTTTCTCTCTACCCACCTCTCTGCCACCCCCCCCCCCCCCTCTCTCTCTCTGTGCGGCTGTCTCCCTCAGGAGTCTCTCTTCACGTAGACCCTCTCCCTGGAGAAGATCCGAACTGCCTCCTCGACCTCCGCGAGGCGCCTCTCGATGTCCGCGCGTCTCTCCCGCACCCGCAGAGTGTCCGCACGCATGGGCATGGAGCCCAGCTCATGCAGCAGCTGCTGCTGGGCTGCGAGAGGAGAGAGGGGGGGGAGGAGAGAGAGACGGGGGAGAAAGAGAGGGGTGAGAGAAACCGAGAGGATTAGTGTGTGTGGGTGTGTCTCTTCATGTTTCTCTCTCTCTCTCTGCCGTGTGTATATATCTCTCTCTCTCTCTCCCCCCGTGTCTCTCTCCCCCAGTGTCCCCATCTCTTTTTGAAACGTAACATGGCTCAGTTATTTGGCAATTTGCTTCATTCATCATATTGGTATTTTGGGCTCTCATGGCCTTTTATATACAATAAATTTAACATTTACATACACAGTGCAAACACAACAAAAACACCTCAAACTCAGGCTTAGCTCCCCTGCATCAGTTATAGAACATAATGCACCCTCTGTAGCACAATGCATCAAGAATGATGGGACGCCTCCTGTCAATTCTAGCCACATTCTGGAAGAAACTAGGACAGTGACTGAATGAGCTATTTCCTTCAATGGAAATGTTCCTGGCCCTATAGCCAGTTCAGCATTGTTCATGGTGACGTTCACCAACCCTTTTGTATCTTTGGTACCCTTGTTCAAAAATAAGAATCATGAGGGAGAAGTGAAGATCACATTTCAGTAGGTTATTTAGCAGCAGCTTATTGAGTGAGTCTAGGGTTTTCCAGTGTACATATCGACGTGCTACTGTTTCAAGCTCACCACAGAATATACATTCTGGATTTGTGTCTGTGAAATGTGACGGAAATGTGTTTCGTGGTCACAGTCCCATGGGCAATGCTCCAGGTCAGGTGACCGTGGTGCTTATACGATGGATCTGAGCAAAAACGGCTCCTAATGAGGCCTCATGCGATCACTGCAGGGCACTGGCTCCCTCCAAGCATGGTCTTTGCATGACATTATTATTTTTCGATTTAAAGCTTTCGTGACTGCAGGGATTCATATTCTTGGTTCTTTCGGTAAAGTCATTACGTAGAAGGGAAATAATAAAATAATAAAAATCAAACATAATAACATAATTCTCACGACGTTTAGGCCACAACGCAAGCAGCCGTCCTCAGGTGAAGAACATTATTATTTGTCGTGGAATTGGACCATTTAGGCATACAGCTTCCTCCGCTCTACATCTGAGAATCACCCCTCCTGTTCATTCCCTGAGGTATGTACCCAGTGCTGCTGTGAAGAAGACGGTGAGTGCTTCCTTGCCGGGATGACATTCAGCTTTGGTGAAAACTGTGCCACCGCTAGCCGACTCGTCACCAGCATTCACTGCTGGTGCGGTCCCCACTGCTGTTGAAAAAGCCCTACGTACTTAATTAAGAAGCTTTGCAGCAAGTCTCACTGAGCACATTCCAGTCATTGCAGTTATCTCAATAGGGAGAAGCCACTGCCCCTCCGTGCCTGGTTTCACCAGATCGGCCACCCTAACGCGATGTGCGTCTACCATGCGTTTCTCTATGGCTGGACCCACAATAGAGGGTAGCACCATGTTGGAGTTCCACAACAGCAGATCGTGAGCTGAGTCTGATGCTGACCGGGGTTTATTCAGTCGGGCAGTGACGAGGAAAGCCCAGGGCTGAAGGACACTCCTGTAGAAGTGGGGAATCTGCGACAGTGGAATACCCATAATGCTTCACTGCAGCCCCCCCCCCCCCCAGGTTATTTAGAAAAAAAATGCTGTGGAACACCACATGGGTGATGGGACTGTGTAGAGAAATATGTGTATGGCTTCTAAGTGAAAGGTAGAGAGATTGCTCCATACACACACTAGACCTTGCCTGCCCTCCCGCAGTGGCAAAGCTATGATGCCAGCAGCCACACGGTGCACCATATGTGACCAGAAGGCAGCCATCATTCTTGGAAATTTGGCAAGCAAGAATGCGGGCAGAGGGAAAAGAAGCAGTGCCAGAATGTGGACGCAATCAACTGGTTCACTACCAGTATTTTCCATATGAACATGAGTTTTATACAGCGCCCCCAAGGCTCCAGTCGGTTCTTCACCTCTTCTTAAAAAAACTAATTATTGCGTAACGTTTTATCTCCAGGATGGCGAAGACACTATTTGCTCCACATAATTGCTTTGGCAAACTCAAGAAACTGGGCTTCATCCCACAAGCAGCCCACTGCACTTCTCCCAGTTCATCCTGGAGGACGCGCATGAGTAAACCTGTTTGGCACTCGCGTTTCATTGCTTCTACATACTATTAACATTCCCTCCCTTTGTTAATGCTACCCCCTGCCCCCTCCCTTTGGTGCTGCTGATCCTGCATAATGCATGGGCATAATATGACTTTGAAACCCCCCTGCCCACCTCCTACGCATTTCCCATGAATATGCTAAATTCCTCTTCATATGCACATTCTTTTGTTAAGGCGCTCTTCTTCCACCTCCAACCCAGCTTATATATAAGCTCCAAGCTTGGCAGTGTCTCATTCTTCACCTGAAGACGGCTGCTTGCGTTGTAGCCGAAACGTCGTGAGAATTATTTTATTATGTTTTATTTTTATTATTTTATTACTTCCCTTCTACGTGACTTTACCGAAAAAACCAAGAAGATGAATCCCTGCAGTCACGAAAGCTTTAAATCGAAACTCGTGTAGCCATTCAATATCATCATCACTCTGTAGAACAGGAGAATATCATCGGCATATGCTGTGAGAGTCACTCTCATACTGGGCTCCTTCAGAGTTAAACCAGTGAGTCGGCGTCGAAGTAGATGCAGAAAAGGCTCCATAAAGAGAGCTGTCCTGACATAGAAAAGCCTTTGCCCGATACCTCTTTTGAAGTCTACAGGAGCAATCGGTGCACGGTTAACTTTGACAAGACACTGGGCCATGTTGTAGAGCAACCCAATTAACCCTATGAACCTAGTGCCAAAACAAACGTTTTTAGAGTGACAAGCAGATACCAGCGATCAACCCTGTCAAAGACTATCTCTTGATCAAGTGAGATAAAGGCAAGTGGAAAGTACAATTGCTCCAACAGAGTGATCTATTCTTTCTAGATTTGAAGCTTTCGTGACTGCAAGGATTCATATTCTTAGGTTTTTTCGGTAAAGTCACGTAGGTAAAACATTAAAATTAATAAAAGTAAAATAGAATAAAAATCACGACGTTTCGGAGACAACACAAGTCTCCGTCATCAGGTGGGACGGAGACTTGTGTTGCCTCCGAAACGTCGTGATTTTTATTCTATTTTACTTTTATTAATTTTAATGTTTTACCTACGTGACTTTACCGAAAAAACCTAAGAATGTGATCAATTCTCTCACTAGGAAAATCCCATCATGGATGGTCCTCTCTGGAATAGTGTATGCCTGGTCATTGCCAATAACCTGAGCCACCACCACCCTAAGCCTAGCAGAGACAGCTTTTGTAAGAATCTTATAGTCTGTGCTCAGCACTGAGACTGGATGCCAATTCTTTAGGTGTCTAAGGTTACCCTTTTTTGTAAGCGGTGTGAGCACTTAATCACGTAGTCACTTGAAGATCTTCTTGGTTCTTTCGGTAAAGTCATCACGTAGAAGGGAAATCATAAAATAATAAAAATAAAACATCTTTAAATAATTCTCACGACGTTTCGGCTACAACGCAAGCAGCCATCCTCAGGTGAAGAATGAAACACCACCAAGCTTGGAGCTTAAATATACGCCAGGGGAGTTAAATATACGCTCCAAGCTTGGTGGTGTTTCATTCTTCACCTGAGGATGGCTGCTTGCGTTGTGGCCGCAACGTCGTGAGAATTATTGTATTATGTTTCATTTTTATTATTTTATTATTTCCCTTCTACGTGACTTTACCGAAACAACCAAGAAGATGAATCCCTGCAGTCACGAAAGCTTTAAATCAAAATTTCACTTGAGGATGTTTTCTTGTTCATGTTTTTGTTTTTTGTTCGTTGCGGTTGCACCCAATTCAAGTGCCGAATGGCTCACAGGGCTATGTACCTAATACATGAAACTTGAAAACTTGAGCATGGCTCTCCCCGAGGACTGAGGCATCACGTTGGAATCCACTGCCACATCGAGAACAGCTTTGTAGTCTTCCCGCAAGGAGTGCCAAAAATGGCAATACAACTCCCCTGGAAACCCATCAATCCCTGGGGATTGTTCCTGGCCAGGGCACTCACTGCCATGCCGAGGTCACCCTGTTTGACCTCTTTGAGATATTCCCTGTCGTCTTCACCCAAAGTAGGCAGTCCTTCCAGATTTCATCTAGGGCCGGTATGGATATATACTCTGGAGGGAACACATTTCTATAGTACTGTGCTACTGTTGAAGTTATTTGATTGTTGTTTGAAACAAGGACCCCTTGTCATCAAATAAACCCTCCATTCAGACGCTGTCTCCCCGACAGACCTGGTCTTCGTTGCCGAAACGTCGTGAGAATGGTATTTTATTATGTTTTATTTTTCATATTGTATTATTTCCCTTCTACATGACTTCACCGAAAGAACAAAGAAGATAAACCCTCCATAGTTTTGCACCTACCATTCTGCTTCCCTAACGAAATGAAAAGTGTTGAGCTAGAGTCCATATCCATGGTGCATTTAAAACGAGAGCGGCTACATGTTCCTTCTGCCTTTTCTTTCTGTAAACCTTTTGGACATTCCAGGATCTCCACATATTTCTGTAGTAGGCCTGGATTGCCCCCGATCTTCTGCCTTTGCCCTATGTCACGGACTCTATGCTCTCAAGCTCACAAATTTACTGGTCAATGTTTTTTTGTGTTCACCCAGGCATACCACTGACACAGTTTTTTCATGTGTACTTTGCCTATATCCCACTATTGTGGTAGGTTATTAAAACAATCTTTCGTTGCCTGCCACTCCACCCAGAAGACCCCAAAGAGATTAATGAAGGTGGTGTCTTCCAAAAGAGCGCTAATAAAATGCCAGTATGTCGAACCCCTTGGGACTCCACGTATCTTCATTTGGAGTAGTACGAGTTGATGACCTGTCTAAATAAACAAATGATCAAAGTTTGTGTAAATTAAAAGACTCGCTGTTGGTGAATGAAATTCCCACGAAAAAAGGTGAAGAAATAATGAAATTATAAAGTTTGTAGAGGCAAGGCCAGGAGCTGTGTGAACACGTATCTCTCCTCCCGTGTCTCTCTCTCTCGCTCTCTCACCCCATGTCTCTCTCTCTCCCACATGGTCTCCATGTGTCTCACTGGAGACAGACCAGTGTCTCCACTGTCTACCTCTCTTTCTCTCCCCCCGTGTCTCTCTCTCTCGCTCTGTCACTCCCGTGTCTCTCTCTGTCTCCCACATGGTCTCCATGTGTCTCACTGGAGACAGACCAGTGTCTCCACTGTCTACCTCTCTTTCTCTCCCCCCGTGTCTCTCTCTCTCGCTCTGTCACCCCCGTGTCTCTCTCTGTCTCCCACATGGTCTCCATGTGTCTCACTGGAGACAGACCAGTGTCTCCACTGTCTACCTCTCTTTCTCTCCCCCCGTGTCTCTCTCTCTCGCTCTGTCACCCCCGTGTCTCTCTCTGTCTCCCACATGGTCTCCATGTTTCTCACTGGAGACAGACCAGTGTCTCCACTGTCTACCTCTCTTTCTCTCTCCTCGTGTCTCTCTCACGGTCATCCGATTAGCACCGTTGGCTACGTATGATGCGAAAGAAGTTCAACATACACACATTCCCATGCGTCTCGCTCTCTCTCTCCCCATGTCTCTCCCTCTCTCTTGCTCCACATATCCCTCTGTCTCTCTCACGTGTCTCTCTCCCCGTGTCTCCGCGTCTCTCTCCGTGTGTCTTTCTCTCCCCGTGTTTATCTCTCTGTCTCTCTCTCCCCCTGTCTCTCTGTCTCTACCTGTCTCTCTCCGTGTCTCTCTCCGTGTGTCTTTCTCTCCCCGTATTTATCGCTCTGTCTCTCTCTCCCCGTGTCTCCATCTTTCTCGGTGTCTCTGCACATCTCTCACCGCTGCTCAAGTAGGCGAGCGTCTCCGCTCTCTGTCTCTCTCTCCTCCTGTCTCTCCGTGTGTGTCTCTCTCCCACGGTGTCTGCATGCGTTTCTCACTGCTGCGCAGGCAGGTCAGAGTCTCCGCTCTCTGTCTCTCTCTCCTCCTGGCTGTCTCTCCGTGTGTGTGTGTCTCTCTCTCCCTGTGTCTCTCTCCCACGGTGTCTGCATGCGTTCCTCACTGCTGCGCAGGCAGGCCAGCGTCTCCGCTGTCTGTCTCTCTCTCCTCCTGTCTGTCTTATCCGTGTGTGTGTGTCTCTCTCTCCCACGGTGTCTGCATGCGTTCCTCACTGCTGCGCAGGCAGGCCAACGTCTCTGCCCTCTCCGTCTCTCTCATCGCCGTGTGCCCCTCCGGTTGTCCGATCTCGGGCTGCTGTCTGCGTCTCTCCTCCTGCTGCCTGCTCCACTCCTCCCTGCGCTCGATCAAACTGTTGGGGTGCAACGCACAGCATCGAGCAGCTGTTGTCAACATCGACGGATCCTTGCCCATGGGGGAAGCCTCGCTGAGATCCTCCAGACGCTTGATCAAGAGGGTCCTGCCAAAAAAAAAACCCAAAAAACTATGGGGACCTATTTTTGCTGATAGTAAAAAAAAATTATGGAAAAATATATAAATATGGTTTTATTACTCCTTTGTGGAAATAAAACTAGGAGTTGTGTTCACAATCTTGATTTGAAGCTTTCGTGACTGCAGGAATTCATCTTCTTGGTTCTTTCGGTAAAGTCACGTAGAAGGGAAATAATAAAATAATAAAAATAAAACATAATAAAATACAATTCTCTCAACGTTTCGGCCACAACGCAAGCAGCCGTCCTCAGGTGAACCAGGTCTGTCGGAAAGACAGCGTCTGAATGCTTCTGAATGCTGTCTTTCCGACAGACCTGTTCTTCACCTGAGGACGGCTGCTTGCGTTATTGAGCTCTCCAAAAAAACTAAAGTGTATTTTTATAATGTTTGCATGGTGTACAGTCTGGAAAGTACCCACATGGCACATTTCAGGTTTGTTGCATGTCGGGAAGTACGCTAAACATTTTGAACAGACACACATAATCACAACTTTTTACCTTTTATATATATGGATTAGAAATAAGTTAAGTAGTATGATTCCTCTATAAGGAATTGTAATATGTATTACTTAATAATGTGTCCAGGCTGCACTAAGCCTGTAGCTATCAGAGCAGCTTCAAATTATTTTTACTTCTTTTATTTGTATTATTTGTATTTCAATGGATTCTCTACTTAGTCTTGGCCAGTAATAATTAGTTTTACACAACACTTCAACGTTGTCAAAATCAATTGAGTGTTCTTGTTGGCAAGCATTTTCTGCCACTGCCAACAGTTGTGTTTGAGATCATTTAATATTCCTTTGATGTTCTTTTAGTCTTCCGCTAATGTTACGTCCCGTCTGTCCAATATAGCATTTACCGCATAAGCAATGAATCCGATATACACCTTCTGTTGATAACATAGGTAATTCATCTTAGTACAAGACACTGGTTTTATAATTCTGTGTACCGTACCAAATCTTACTTTAATGTTTTGCTTTTGCAAAACATGGGCTAATTTTTCAGTTCCTCCTGAGATATATGGTATTTTAATTGTTTTAATAATCTTATATCTTTCAGCAGTGTTGCTTTGCGTTCGTGATTTGGCATTCAATGCTCTGTTAATTTGAGCGTTATTGTAGCCATTCAGTCGTAGTGCTTCTTTAACATGTTTAATCTAATTCCTTAGACTTTCACCATCTGACACTGTTTTAGCCCGATGTATGAGCGTCTTGATGAGAGAGGATTTCTGTGCAGGGTGATGATGCGAATCTGCATTCAGATAGGCATCAGTGTGTGTTTCCTTTCAGTAAATGCTGTGTGTTATTTTACCATTTAGGCCGCGTCCAAGCAAAATATCTAGGAAAGCGAGTGTGTTATTCACCTCCAATTCCATGGTGAACTGGATGGTCAGGTTATGTGCATTGAGATGATTTAGAAATTAATTAAGTGTATCTTTACCATGTGGCCAGACAACCAAAGTGTCATCCACATATCGAAATCAAAAAGATGGTTTAAATGTACTCGAGGCAAGTGGTCTTGTTTAAAAGTTTTCCATGTACAAATTTGCTATAACAGGAGACAACGAAATCACCACTCCATAAGAAATAAGTGTTATTTAGACAATGGTCAGCTAGTTTTGGAATATCTTATGGTAAACTTGTCTTCTTTACCAGTGTATCAAGTAATTTAAGCGACTCGTTAACTGGAACCTTAGTGAATAGAGAAATTACATCAAAACTCACCATAATATCATTCGGGTTAAGTTTAATATCTCTAATCACATTCACAAGATATTCTGAATTTCTTTTGAATGAAGATGTCCTACCGATGTAGGGCCGTATTTGTTTAATTACATATTTTGCTAATGTATATGTGGCAGAGCCTATTGTACTTACTATGAGTCGTAATGGGATGCCGATTTTATTTATCTTTGCTAGCCCATACAGTCTAGGTGATTTTGAGGCCCTTGGCTTCATTTGGTATTGCTTAGTCTTGGGGATTAATGAATTTCCAATGATTGCAGTAGAATTACATTATAAAGTATTAGTTGGATCTCGTTTAATTTTAATACAGGTACTTTCCTCTAGAAAATCTTTAATCTTATTATCATAATCTGCTCGTGACATCACTACAGTAGTGCCGCCTTTATCAGCTGCCAGAATTTGAATATACTTTTTGGTTCTTTCGAAAGAACCAAAGAGTAATTCCTGCAGTCACGAAAGCCCCAAATCAAATTTTAATATATTTCATTGAAGCTCCCTTAAGGCTTTGCTTCGTTAAAGCTCATATTTATTTTTAAATCCTTTATATTAAGTTCGCTTGCGTGCTTGCTTGCTTACGACCGTGCAAACCTTTCGGTCGAGACAATTAATGTTCGTGAAAATTTTTTTCCAAAATGTTACACTGTTTAGGGAAAACAAATTAAATATTTAATTACCAATTGTTTAATACTGCAGACAATCATCTGACCCATAGGTGGCAGCCATCTCAAGCCAGAGGACGAGAGGACTCTAGCCGCCACGCATATAAAGGATTTAGAGTGAAAAACTTTGTTTTTACGGGTTATACTTGTTGGTACTTTGCTATTCTAAATTATTTTGGCAACCTCGTGCCTAGTCATCTCTGCCTCATTATGTGTAAGGTGTCTTACCGCTGATTCTACCTCAGCAATTATCTCATCCGCTGAATTGTGTGTGGGGTAACGGTAAAGTTAAGGCCTTTAGAAAGGACGGAAATCATGTCGCTGGTTAAATCAGTGTTAGTTAAGTTAATTACAGTTTGTGTTTAAATTGTTCGTTATTAGTTAGGAATTGTTTTTTATGAAGTCTAGAAAATGTATTAATTTGTTTAGTTTTACACTATGAGACCTCCTTTACCGGTGGAAAAATATAGTAGTAGGTTTTTACCCTTTAAACTGAGTTGTACGCCTTTTGGCGTCATCTGGTCCAACACCAATGGAGACTAGGCTCTAAGGAAAGCTGTCTCGGGTGTGGACCAATCAACTTCAAGGACGATGCATATCATTATCATTATCAGAGTTGTTTCTTTTTGTTTGCATTTTGACTTCTTGTGTTGCGGTTATTGCAAACTTGATGCCTTGTATAAAGGTGTCAGTTTTGTACCAGTTTAAAGGGTAAAAACCTACTACTATTGTTTCGTTTTAGTTAGGTTAAATACATTATCAGCCGATTGTTGTGTTATATTATCAATTATATTCCAATAATGTATGGATACACTATTGCTGATATGTAAGTGCAAGTGCTTTAGAGATTCAGATATGTGAGATAATTCACTCCTGTTGTGCTGTATTCTCTAGAATAATGATTCTCTAGCTTTGTGTAGTATTTGGCTAGCTTTAACAGACTTTATGTGATGTGTTATTTTATTACCTTTGAATGTCTGCACCTTTTGAGGAACGCCAGTGAAGACATACATTTTACCCGCTTAATGCCATGATCTTGTGCGGATGCTCTGATGCCGGAACAGCGTGCTGGTAATTACAAGCCCATGGGCTGCACAGAAGTCCCGTAGCCTCCTACCGTTGTTATTGAGTTGATCTGGCTAATGCCTTCCAATCATTCCAGCCCAAGTGCCAGCATAATGACCCGCTCGGGAATTAAAGTCACCAAACAGGATGATTATCTCGTGGGCCCACTTTAGCTCGCACCGGTGACAGGTCATAAAAGGCATCTGACTCATTGGCTTTGCCTGCATCCCTCCACTGATTTTCATCTTTGGCGAGGGCATAAGCAATGACCACCACCACTCCTCGCCTCTGGTTGATGGGGAGACGAGCCCACAGTAGCCTGTGGTTTACAGATTTCCACACTCACTGCCATGCTTCCACGTCCCCTTCATTCTTTTGTTTAGAAGATGAACCACTCCCTGTTGTTTGGCAGTCTCCTGCCCCGCGTAAAGGATTGTCCACCCCTCATGGTGACTGGAACCAAAGCCAGTCCACAGGACCTCCTGAATACCTCATCGATTCAGGCGGTACCGGTCTAGCTCCCGACAAGAGGACTGGAAGCCTTTCCTCCACAGCGAGCGTTCAACCATTCCAAGTGGCCACTCGCAGTGGCTTTTTGCTGTTTCTGGAGGAACCCCGAGGGTACGGGTCCAGTCTCCTGGCTCCGCCAAATGGGTTTTGTCCAGGAGATGTCATAGACGCCTGTTCACCCGGAGACTCCAGCACAAGCTTAGCTCGATATGTTTCACGCCATCCAGAGCCTCCCATTGGCCGCTGTGGTGGTTACAAGCGCCATGAGGGGTATAGCCAATTGTAATTGGCCTTCCTTCCTTTTATGGCATTGCTCATATCCACCAGTGTTACCGTTCGGCACCACCGAGGAGGAAGGGGGTTGTTTTGCCGAACTCACACACTCACTTACAAACACACTCTCACACACTCACTCACTCGCACTCATACGCTCACTTGCTGCCACACTCACACGCTGACACACTCACACGCTGACACACACTCACTAGCTGACACACACTCACACGTTGACACACTCACACGCTGACACACACTCACTAGCTGACACACAATCACACGTTGACTCACGCTGACACATTCACTCGTACATACGCTCACTCGCTGCCACACTCACACGCTGACACACTCACACGCTGACACACTCACACGCTGACACACTCACTCGCACACACACTCACACGCTGACACACTCACTCGCACACACACTCACACGCTGACACACTCACTCGCACACACACTCACTCGCTGACACACTCGCTGACACACTCACTCGCTGACACACTCACACGCTGACACACTCACACGCTGACACACTCGCTGACACACTCACTCGCACTCATACGCTCACTCGCTGCCACACTCACACGCTGACACACTCACACGCTGACACACTCACTCGCACACACACTCACACGCTGACACACTCACACACTCACACGCTGACACACTCACACACTCACTCGCACACACACTCACACGCTGACACACTCACACACTCACACGCTGACACACTCACTCGCACACACACTCACACGCTGACACACTCACACACTCACTCGCACACACACTCACACGCTGACACACTCACTCGCACACACACTCACACGCTGACACACTCACACGCTGACACACTCGCTGACACACTCACATGCTGACACACTCACTCGCACACACACTCACACGCTGACACACTCGCTGACACACTCACATGCTGACACACTCACGCTGACACACTCACTCGCTGACACACTCACACACTGACACACTCGCTGACACACTCACTCGCACACACACTCACTCGCTGACACACTCACTCGCACACACACTCACACGCTGACACACTCACACGCTGACACACTCCCTCACACACACACTCACACGCTGACACACTCACTCGCACACACACTCACTCGCTGACACACTCACACGCTGACACACTCACTCGCACACACACTCACTCGCTGACACACTCACTCGCTGACACACTAACACGCTGACACACTCACTCGCTGACACACTCACTCGCTGACACACTCACTCGCTGACACACTCACACGCTGACACACTCACTCGAACACACACTCACTCGCTGACACACTCACACGCTGACACACTCACACGCTGACACACTCACTCGCTGACACACTCACACGCTGACACACTCACTCGCTGACACACTCACTCGCTGACACACTCACACGCTGACACACTCACACGCTGACACACTCACACGCTGACACACTCACACGCACACACACTCACACGCTGACACACTCACACGCTGACACACTCACTCGCACACACACTCACTCGCTGACACACTCACACGCTGACACACTCACACGCACACACACTCACACGCTGACACACTCACACGCTGACACACTCACTCGCACACACACTCATTCGCTGACACACTCACACGCTGACACACGCACACACACTCACACGCTGACACACTCACACGCTGACAAACTCACTCGCACACACACTCACTCGCTGACACACTCACTCGCTGACACACTCACTCGCTGACACACTCACACGCTGACACACTCACTCGCACACACACTCACTAGCTGACACACTCACTCGCTGATACACTCACTCGCACACACACTCACACGCTGACAAACTCACTCGCACACACACTCACTAGCTGACACACTCACTCGCTGATACACTCACTCGCTGACACACTCACTCGCTGACACACTCACTCGCTGACACACACTCACACGCTGACACACACCCACTCACTCGCACACACACTCGCACACACACTCACACGCTGACACACTCACACGCTGACACACTCACACGCTGACACACTCACTCGCACACACACTCGCACACACACTCACTCGCACACACACTCACTCGCTGACACACTCACATGCTGACACACTCACTCGCACACACACTCGCACACACACTCACTCGCACACACACTCACTCGCTGACACACTTGCACGCTGACACACTCACTCGCACACACACTCACTCGCTGACACACTCACTCGCACACACACTCACACGCTGATACACTCACACGCTGACACACTCACTCGCTGACACACTCACTCGCTGACACACTCACTCGCACACACACTCACACGCTGACACACTCACTCGCACACACACTCACACGCTGACACACTCACTCGCACACACACTCACTCGCACACACTCACTCGCTGACACACTCACTCGCACACACACTCACTCGCACACACACTCACACGCTGACACACTCACTCGCACACACACTCACTCGCTGACACACTCACTCGCTGACACACTCACACGCTGACACACTCACACTCTCACACACTCACACGCTGACACACTCACTCGCACACACACTCACTCGCTGACACACTCACACGCTGACACACTCACACTCTCACACACTCACACGCTGACACACTCACTCGCACACACACTCACTCGCACACACACTCACTCGCTGACACACTCACTCGCTAACACACTCACACGCTGACACACTCACTCGCACTCACACTCACACGCTGACACACTCACTCGCTGACACACTCACTCGCACACACACTTGCACACACACTCACTCGCACACACACTCACACGCTGACACACTCACACGCTGACACAATCACACTCTCACACACTCACTCGCACACACACTCACTCGCTGACACACTCACACGCTGACACACTCACTCGCACACACACTCACTCGCTGACACACACTCACTCGCTGACACTCACACGCTGACACACTCACACACTCAACCAACGTACTAGGCGGGCAGCATCCCCTTGGGTTGAGGGGCCAGGCTGAGATTGGGCTGGGAGTTGGATCTGCTTAGGCCGTTGTCTCTCTCTCCACGTTGCCACGCGTCCCTGGCGTTCCTCTTCACGAAGTCCACACTCTGCCTCGCCTGTCTAGGAGTCTACACAGAGGAGAGAGAGCACAGAAGACATGAAAAGGGAGAGAAAGAGAGAGATGAAAAGAGGGACAGAGAGAGAGAGGCAGGGGGAGCGAGAGAGGGAAAAGGAGAGAGAGGGCAGGATGGAGAGAGGGAGAGAGAGAGGGAAATAGAGCGGGAGGGAGAGAGCGGTGGAAAGAGAGAAAGCATGAAAGACAGTGAGCAGGAGAGAGGGGGAAAGAGAGTGGGAGAGAGAGTGGGAGAAAGAGAGGAAGACAATATAAATATTCACTGTCTGTTGAACGTCTTTCGCACCATATGTAGCCAACCATGCGTATCAGCGGTGCGGGACAAAGACAGAAACACTAAACACAACAAAGAGTTATAATGGCGAGAGAGGGGGCAGAGAATGAGCAAGAAAGAGAGGGAGACATGGGGAGAGACACACGTGAGTGGGTGGGTGAATGGCTTAGCGAATGCTTACAGGTGTGTGATGGTGTGTGTGGGAGCAGTAGTGTAGCGGTTAGCGCGCTGCGCTATGAACCTGGCGACCCGGGTTCGATTCCCGCTCACGGCCAACACCAGTGATGATTATCTGATCCGGTCCTGGGCCTCCCCTAGGTCGACTCAGCCTGAAATGAGTACCTGGTGCGGTGTGTAAACATCGCCACTGGGGAGACAAAGGTGGTCGGGCGTGGTGCTGGCCACCCACCCCCTCGTGTGACGTTCCAGCCTTCATAGGTGCTCGCTAACAGCACTTGCCCCCACAGTCTGTTAAGGCAATACGGGGGATCTTTGTCTTTGTGGGAGCGTTCGTCTAGCGGTGATCGGTGAACCCGGCGACCTGAGTTCGATTCCCGCTCATGCCCACCAACACCAGCGATTATCTAAAACCGATCCCCCGCCTAAGTCAACTCAGCCTCAAATGCGTAACCAGTGCGGTGTTTTTACAATTTACTATTTCATTACACCAGGAAAGGACCCCACTGAGTTACGTAGCTCTTTTTCAGAAGCGACCTGGCCATCACAAATGATAGCTCAACCAAGTAGCTGATATCATGATCGTGTGGAAATTCATAACAGTAACCAAATACTCTGAATGCGTGACGGCGATTCTAAATGTGGCGGGGAAAACCAGAGTACCCGGAGAAAAATCAATGCAACCATGGGGGGGAGACAGAGAGAGACCCAGACTCCAAATATACAGCAGCAGCATGTTGCTGTATACAAGGCGAGGTAGTTAACATCTCCTAGCCACCGTGATGATGATGAGAGAGAGAGACGCAAACTCCAAATATACAGCAGCAGCATGCATCGTCAGGGTCGAACCCACGACCTCCTGTACACCAGGCGAGGTAGTTAACATCTCCTAGCCACCGTGATGATGATGATGAGAGAGAGACGCAGACTCCAAATATACAACAGCAGCAGCAAGCGTCAGGGTCGGGATCGAACCCACGACCTTCTGTATACCAGGCGCGGGAGTTAACATCTCGCCACAGCAGCTAAGGTTAGGGACGCCCCCCTCGGCTGCCTCCTTATTCCTCAAATCGTGCAGCAATCCCGCTCTAAACTCGCTGTTGTGCATTTTTACTACCATGTAATGTACTCACTACAGTCCACACGTTTACACATTTTGGTATAAACGCGTCAACTCAGAGGTCCGTTATTCAACAGAACGCGAATGCCATCGGGGAAAGTGTTGCAGCCAGCGCTCCCTAAGAGCGCAAAAGTGATAACAGCTGTGCGGTGTTGTTAACATACACCAGAGGTCGCAATCGGGTACCCGATACTCGTACCCTACCCGATACCCGGCCGGGTACGGGTAGCCGGGTATCGGGTAGGGTATGGGTACCCGTTTGCGACCCTGGTGCGGCCGGGTACGGGTACGGGTAAGGAATCAAAACCCGTTTGCGAACTCTGTCAAACACCCACATCTCCCGAGGAGTCATCTTCCTGAATTGCTCACCATCACCACCTCCACTGTCGTCAAATCACCATCATCATGATCGTCGTCAAAGGCAATTGGAAAATATGTATTGTTCTTTAATCTGTATTATTTATTAATTGTAGTCATTGTTATTAAACATTTACCATTTCACTTGGACCAGGAACGTAACCCCATTTTTTTACATTGGAATGAGGTTTCTATTATCGCGAATTCTGCATTCGCTGATTGTTTTCAAGAAGGTAACCCTCGCATATGGAGGGAAGGCTCTAGTGTACTTGAAGCTGGTGCTTTTCCTTCAAACACCTTGCTAATGAGCTGCGTTGGCGTAAGGTGGTTGTACGACACATTGAAATGTGTGCGATCTAACCCTAAACACTTCATTGTGAATCATATAGTCTTAAATTTCGATTTAAAGCTTTCGTGACTGCAGGGATTCATCTTCTTGGTTCTTTCGGTAAAGACACTGTCTTTCCGACAGACCTGTTCTTCACCTGAGGACGGCTGCTTGCGTTGTGGCCGAAATGTCGTGAGAATTATTTCATTATGTTTTATTTTTATTATTTTATTATTTCCCTTCTACGTGACTTTACCGAAAGAACCAAGAAAAAAGAATTATATAGTCATCAAAACATCGGTGTTAAATTGAGTGGGTGAGTGAGTTGGTTAGAGTGTGGTTGAGTGAGTTGGTGAGTGTGCGGGTGAGTGAGTGGGTTTGTGAGTGAGAGGGTGGTTGAGTGGCTGTGTGGCTGAGTTGATAAGCAGGTGAGTGGGTGAGTTGCTGAGTAGTGATCCCCTCACCTCTCCCCCACTCTCCCCTCTTCCTCTGGAGTGAGCCCGGAGAAACCCAGCGCTTTGAGCTCGAGGAGGAAGAGGTGGTTCCTATAAAACGACATCGCCATCATGAACCCAATGACACGGCCATCATGACCCCAGCGACAGAGCCATCGTGAACTCCAGTGACATGGCCAATGTGAATCCCAGCGACACGGCTATCATGAAACTAGCGACATGGCCATTATGAACCCACCCACACAGACATCGTGAACCCAGCGACCTGGCCATCGTGAACCCCACCCACACGGCCATCGTGAACCCCACCCACCTGCAGCTTGGCGGTCACTTTGCTGGGAACGTTGTCATATTTCCTCGACTTCCAGAGAGCGGTGGCTTCACACTGCTGATGAGCAGGAGGCTGCTGCTGATGCTGCTGATGCTGCTGCTGGATCTTTCTGATGCGTCGCAAGTTTTCAAGGACGTGGTTTCGCGGCTTGTGTCCTGAAGGTCGTCATCAGCAGCGTCATCAGCAAGAGAATCAGCAGCATCATCAGCAGCATCATCATCACCAGCATCATCAGCAGCAGCAGCATCATCATCAGCAGCATCATCATCAGCAAGAGAATCAGCAGCATCATCATCAGCAGCATCAGCAGCATCATCATCAGCAGCAGCATTATCATCAGCAGCATCAGCAGCAGCATCAGCAGCATCATCAGCAGCATCATCAGCAGCATCATCAGCAGCATCATCAGCAGCAGCATCATCAGCAGCAGCATCATCAGCAGCAGCATCATCAGCAGCAGCATCAGCAGCATCAGCAGCAGCATCAGCAGTAGCATCATCAGCAGTAGCATCAGCAGTAGCATCATCATCAGCAGCATCATCAGCAGCAGCATCATCAGCAGCAGCATCAGCAGCTGCCGCATCATCAGCAGCTGCATTATAATCATCAGCAGCATCATCATGAAGGTCATCAGCAAGATAATCATTAGCAGCAGCAAGAGAATCATCATCAGCAGCAAGAGATTCATCAGCATCAGCAGCATCATGATGATCATCATCAAGATAACCATCAGCATCATCGTCAGCCAGAACAGCATAGGCAAGAAGAGCATCGTCATCAAACAAATACAGTGGTCACCGCATCGCGCGGCACTTTCAGATGCGCTTCTGTGGCCGTCTGGAACGCTCTTCCTTGCGATATTAGGAAGCCAATGAAGCTATGATGCACCTTTAAATCATCATATAGATCGATAAACTCGTTTTTTTAATCCTTTATATTAAGTTCGCTTGCTTGCTTGCGTACTTGCTTGCTTGCTTACGACCGTGCAAATCTTTCGGTCGTTTTTTAACCCACTTCCCGTGATCCAATCGAGCTGACATTTTCCACACAGACTCGTTGTGCGTGACAATTAATTTTCGTGAAAAAATGTTTCCAAAATTTTACACTGTTTAGGGGAAATTTTTTAAATATTTAATTACCAATTGCTTAATGCTGGCAGACAATCATCTGACACATAGGTGGCAGCCATCTCAAGCCAGAGGACGAGAGGACTCTAGCCACCACGCATATAAAGGATTTAGAGTGAAAAACTTAGTTTTTACGGGTTAATTTTTTTAACTGCTTCTTGTTGTTTTTAGTTTGTTGTCCTTCCCCCCGCACCTCCGATTAGATGCGAAAACAGGTTCAACATACATACATCAATAGCCGCAGCATCATCGTTGTTATCAGCGGCATCACTCACTCACCCACCCAACCACTCACGCATCCAACCACTCACTCACCCACCCACCCAACCGCTCACTTAGCCACCCAACTACTCAGCCACCCAGCCACTCAGCCACCCAACTACTCACTCACCCATCCACTCACTCACGCACCCAACCACTCACCCTTTCACTCATCCACTCACTCATCCACTCATCCACTCACCCACCCTTTCATCCATTCACCTACTCATCCACTCATCCACTCATCCACTCACCCACCCCTTTCATCCATTCACCTACTCACTCACCTACCCACTCACTCATTCACTCACTCATCCACTCACTCATCCACTCACTCATCCACTCACCCATCCACTCACCCATCCACTCATCCACTCACCCACCCACTCACCCACTCACACACCCTTTCATCCACTCACCTACTCATCCACTCACCCACTCATCCACTCACCCACCCCTTTCATCCATTCACCTACTCACTCACCTACCCACTCACTCATTCACTCACTCATCCACTCACTCATCCACTCACTCATCCACTCACCCATCCACTCACCCACCCACTCATCCACTCACCCACCCACTCACCCACTCACACACCCTTTCATCCACTCACCTACTCATCCACTCACCCACTCATCCACTCACCCACCCCTTTCATCCATTCACCTACTCACTCACCTACCCACTCACTCATTCACTCACTCATCCACTCACTCATCCACTCACTCATCCACTCACCCATCCACTCACCCACCCACTCATCCACTCACCCACCCCTTTCATCCATTCACCTACTCACTCACCTACCCACTCACTCATTCACTCACTCATCCACTCACTCATCCACTCACCCATCCACCCATCCACTCACCCACCCACTCATCCACTCACCCACCCACTCACCCACCCTTTCATCCATTCACCTACTCACTCACCTACTCACCCACCCACTCACAATTCTATTCATACCTTGTCGTTTGGGGCCCCCGCCCCAAGGCCCCTCCCCCTGGCGGGGCCCCTCAGCATGGATGAGCGCCCCCACGCTGCCCCTCCCCCTCAGGAGGATCTCCAGCCCCTCCCCCAGCGCGCGAGGGGGTGGGGGCCCAGGGGCGGGGCTACGGGCGGAAGAGGGCACCCAGGGGGGCAGGGCTCGGATGGGGTTCCGAGCTGCGGGGGGGAGTGGTGGGGGGGTGGTGGGGAAGTGAAGTGGGGGGGGAGAAGTGAAGTGGGGGGGGGGGAGAAGTGAAGTGGGGGGGGGGAGAAGTTAAGTGGGGGGGAGGAGGAGTGGTGGGGGGGGGGGAGGAGTGGTGGGGGGGGAGGGGAGGAGTGGTGGGGGGGGGGAGGAGTGGTGGGGGGGGAGGGGAGGAGTGGTGGGGGGGGAGGAGAGGAGTGGTGGGGGGAGAGCAGTGGTGGGGGGGGAGGAGTGGTGGGGGGGGGGGGAGTGGTGGGGGGGGGAGTGGTGGGGGGGGGAGGAGTGGTGGGGGGGGAAGAGTGGTGGGGGGGGAGGAGTGGTGGGGGGGGGGAGTGGTGTGGGGGGAGGAGTGGTGGGGGGAGGAGTGGTGGGGGGGGGAGAGGTGGTGGGGGGGGGAGAAGTGGTGGGGGGGAGGAGTGGTGGGGGGGGGAGGAGTGGTGGGGGGGGAGGAGTGGTGGGGGGGAGGAGTGGTGGGGGGGGAGGAGTGGTGGGGGGGGGAGGAGTGGTGGGGGGGGAGGAGTGGTGGGGGGGGAGGAGTGGTGGGGGGGGGAGGAGTGGTGGGGAGTGGTGGGGGGGGAGTGGGGGGGGAGAATCACGTGGGTGAGTGAATGAGTTGCTCTGCACGAAGCTTCTGGTCTTCTCGGCCACGGCCATGCCCTCCCTAACGGAGCATCCGCGCCGGTTAGAAACATTCAGTCTGGCCCTGTACAGGCTACGATCCATCCTGGGTGTGTGTGAGTCTGTGTGTGTGAGTCTGTGTGTGTGAGCTTTTGTTCGGACGGATCGAGGGAGCTAGACGGGCGCGGCACGGGCTAGAGAAGAGATGGAGTGATGTGGTACAGGAGGACGTGGAGCTGAGTGGACTTGCCGATGACTGGTACCAGCGGTGTCAAGATCGGCCTCAGTGGAGGAGGCTCGTGAAGGACGCTACTGGGCAGTTGGAGGCAGTCGCCCTCCAACAACAACGGAGGGCGGAGGAGCGACGCTCACAACAACGAGCGGAGCGCCGGGTGGCTAAAGCACAGCAAGTTGGCACAGTAGGGGGCACAGGTGGTGCATCAGCCAGTCATCTCGGTCATCTCGGTCAGTCGACCAGTGGCACCTGGGTCTGCCCCGTGACCTCCTGCCAGCGGGCTTTCGACACTTCACGTGGCCTCAAGGTGCACTTGGCCTGGCACAAGCATCGTGGTGACGTCACCGCCACTTAGTGGCGAATGGCGGTTGTTGTTGTTGTTGTGAGTCTGTGTGTGTGAGTCTGTGTGTGTGTCTGTGTGTGTGTGTGAGTCTGTGTGTGTCTGAGTCTGTGTGTAAGTCTGTGTGTGTGTCTGTGTGTGTGTGTGAGTCTGTGTGTGAGTGTGTCTCACCAGACTGCGGCCTCCCCTGCTGCTGCTGCTGGTTGTAGCTCTTCGGGTAGAGACTCAGATCGGGCGGGATGGGCCCAGAAATCGTGGACGGTCCCTCGCACATCGCTCACTGCGTGCACCTAGCCTGGCACCTCGCCTGGCACCTCGCCTGGCACCTAACCTGGCACCTAGCCTGGCACCTAGCCTGGCACCTCGCCTGGCACCTAACCTGGCACCTAGCCTGGCACCTAACCTGGCACCTAGCCTGGCACCTAACCGGGCACCCAGGTTCTATCCCCGCACCAGCATTAGCTGGGTGGGGGGAGGGAGCCGTCTCACCCCTAAGTCGACTCGGCCTTAAATAAAATACAAACTTCCCGGGTGCTGTTGCGAGCCGTATTATAAACTGTGAGCGCTGCTATGGAGAGTGAGAGATAGATAGAGAGAGACAAAGGCGGCCGGGAGTGGTTGTTGGTGTGTATGAGAGGGTGCAGCTACAGAGAGACAAAGGCGGCCGGGCGTGACGGTGGTGGTGATGGCGGTGATGGTGTCAACCCACGCTGGTGCCCTGGAAACAAAGCCCCGCCCCCTTTCTAGCTCCTCCCCCTTTCTAGCTCCTCCCCATTTCTAGCTCCGCTCCCTCCATAGCTCCTCCCCCTTTCTAGCTCCTCCCCCTTTCTAGCTCCGCCCCCTCCATAGCTCCTCCCCCTTTCTAGCTCCTCCCCTAGCTCCTCCCCCTTTCTAGCTCCTTCGCCCCGCCCCCTTCGCCCTCCGCGTCGTCCCCTCCCCCTGATTGGACAGGGGACGGTTGAAATGGGCGTAGAAAAATGAAAACGCTTCCGATTGGTTGACGTGATTTGTGGGCGTGGTTACGGGAGCTGGGGGCCGGTTTGCCAATGCTCGGCTTTGGATTGGACAGTTCTGTAGAGTGGGCGCGGCTTGAGTCTCATGCATATTCATGAGGTGGTTTCCGCAAACTCGTGTCCTGATTGGTGCAAGCTCTCAACCCACGTGACTGAGTGGGAGGACCCGCGCTCCTCATTTGTCAGCTGTGCCAGGTGGGGGGGGGGGGAATTCCCTAGCAACGCGAGGGAATTCCACCCGCCCTACGCGTTACCATGGAAACGCGTCCATCCCAACCGTTACCACGACCGCAATAAATTTTTATTTTAAAAACAATATTTTTATTTTTTTTAATTGATATTTTTTAAGTAGTAGTTATTTTAACTGTATTTTGTTAGTATTTTTCAATTTTATTTTTTATTTATATTTTTGTAATTTGTATATTTGTATTTTTTACATATATTTTTAAATTTGCATTTTTTATTTGTTTCAATTATTTTTATTTTCATTTGTTTTTATTTTCATTTTTTTACTTCTATTTATCGTTTTTTATTTGTTTTTATCTTTTTTATTTTTCCTTCTAAATTTTTATTAGTTTTTAATTTGTATTTATCATTAGTATTTTTTAGTTCGCCTGTATGGACGGGTTGCTCCTGGGTCCACGTACCGCCATTGCTGTAGCCGATACGATTCAAGAGCCCAATGGCTCACAGGGCTTTACCAAATAAATGAAACTGAAAAAAAACTTGAAACACGAGGTTCGTGTATCCAGCGATGTATCGATCTGTTGCCACCCAATCAATAAGCCTCACATTCCAGTTTCTCACCCGCGATGTCGCCGTATGAATTAGTTAAACAGTGACACTCACTACACTGGAACTCACCTGGCCGCATTCCTGGGTCATGTAGCCAGGAATGCGGCCAGGTGTGTTTTTTATCTTCTTGGTTCTTTCGGTAAAGTCACGTAGAAGGGAAATAATAAAATAATAAAAATTAAACATAATAAAATAATACTATTTTTAAATAATATTAAAGTCACGTAGAAGGGAAATAATAAAATAATAAAAATAAAGCATAATAAAATAATATAATAAAATAATATAATACTATTTTAAAATAATATTAAAGTCACGTAGAATGGAAATAATAAAATAATAAAAATAAAACATAATAATATAATATAACACTATTTTTAAATAATATTAAAGTCACGTAGAAGGGAAATAATAAAGTAATAAAAATCAAACATAATAAAATAATATAACAAAATAATATAATACTATTTTAAAATAATATTAAAGTCACGTAGAATGGAAATAATAAAATAATAAAAATAAAACATAATAAAATAATATAATACTATTTTAAAATAATATTAAAGTCACGTAGAAGGGAAATAATAAAGTAATAAAAATAAAGCATAATAATATAATAAAATAATATAATACTATTTTAAAATAATATTAAAGTCACGTAGAAGGGAAATAATAAAATAATAAAAATTAAACATAATCAAATAATTCTCGAGACGTTTCGGCCACAACGCAATCAGCCGTCACGAAAGCTTTAAATCGAAATTGTGTTTTTTACTTTGTGTTTCATTAATTTGTATTTTTAACTAGTATTTTTTACATATTTTTTTTTCAATCGTATTTCTCTTTTTAACTGTAGTTTTTTCTTCTTTTATTTTTGAGGATTTTTTATTGATATTTTTTATTTGAATTTTTTATTTTTGTTTGTGTTTTTTTATTAGAATGTTTTAATTAGCATTTTTATTAAGATATTTTTTTGTTTGTATTGTTTAATATTCTTTGGTTGTTTCGGTAAGGTCACGTAGATATACAAATAATAATAAAAATTAAGTGAATACAAATGTTAAAAATACAAAAGATATATAAATAATAAATAACAAAAAACACTCATTTAGACTGTACCCTGGTTATTTAACTGAGTGAGTGTACTAACAGTCTATAATGTAGACTGTAGCCTGGTTATTAAGCTGAGTGTACTGGCAGTCTATAATGTAGACTGCAGCCTGGTTATTTAACTGAGTGAGTGTACTGACAGTCTATAATGTAGACTGTAGCCTGGTTATTAAGCTGAGTGTACTGGCAGTCTATAATGTAGACTGTAGCCTGGTTATTTAACTGAGTGAGTGTACTGACAGTCTATAATGTAGACTGTAGCCTGGTTATTAAGCTGAGTGTACTGGCAGTCTATAATGTAGACTGTAGCCTGGTTATTAAGCTGAGTGAGCGTACTGACAGTCTATAATGTAGACTGTAGCCTGGTTATTAAGCTGAGTGTACTGGCAGTCTATAATGTAGACTGTAGCCTGGTTATTAATCTGAGTGAGTGTACTAACAGTCTATAATGTAGACTGTATCCTGGTTCTTAACCTGAGTGAGCGTACTGGCAGTCTGTAATGTATTTTATTAATTGGTATTTTTTTTCTTTTTTCTTTGTATTTTTTTATTAGTATTTTTATTCTTTTATTAGAAATTCGTATTTTTTTTATTTTTTTTTTTGCATTTGGATTTTTTTAATATGAAAACATTTCACTTGTATATTTTTTTTACTGTATTAAATTTTTTTCATTTTTTTTTGTTTTTTTCTTTGTATTTTTTATTTTGTAGTTCGCCTGTATGGACTGGCTCCGCATACCCACCACTGCTGTAGCCGACACGGTACACACCAGTGTCGTGTGCCCAGCGCTGCATCGGTCTGTTATCACCCTGCCACGAATGACGGCAGCCACCCACCCAGTCACTCTACAGGTGAATAACCCTCACATGTCAGTGTCTCACCCGTGATGTCGCTGTATGAGTTAGTTAAGCAGTGACGACACTACACGAGAACTCACCTGGCCGCATTCCAGGTAACCGTTTGTATTTTTAAAAATCGTGTTTCTTTACTTTGTATTTTATTCATTTCTAATTTTTTTACGTGTATTTGTGTATTTTTACTATTTGGTATTTTTTTACTTGGATTATTTATATATTTATTTCTGTACTTTTCTTATTTGTATGTAATTATTGTATTTATTTATATTAGTATATATGTTTTTTAATACTTTTTTACTTCAATTTTTACGGGGTTTTTTTGTCTAAATTTAGCATTTTATTCGTATTTTTTTCATCGGATTTTAAAATAATGAAGTGTCGAACGCCCGCTGGCAGGAGGTCACGGGGCAGACCCAGCAGGTGCCACGGGTCGACTGACCGAGATGACCGAGATGACTGGCTGATGCACCACCTGTGCCCCCTACTGTGCCAACTTGCTGTGCTTTAGCCACCCGGCGCTCCGCTTGTTGTTGTGAGCGTCGCTCCTCCGCCCTCCGTTGTTGTTGGAGGGCGACTGCCTCCAACTGCCCAGTAGCCTCAAGGTGCACCTAGCCTGGCACTGCCCAGTAGCGTTCTTCACGAGCCTCCTCCACTGAGGCCGATCTTGACACCGCTGGTACCAGTCATCGGCAAGTGGACTCAATATTTCATACAGACATACCCACACTGAATCCTACACACATGCTCAAACACACACACCAATCGACGCTCGTCCAGACTGAATCTCACCCACACTCATACTCACCCACACTCAATCACACACACACACAACAATCTCACCAACCCAATCACCAACTCGATATCTCACACACTCAAATGAGCCCCAAACATATCGATCCACTCACTCGTCCACATTAAAGCCTCTCTCACACACTTCCACTTAATCGCAAGATTAAATAATAAGCATGCCATTGAATGTTGATTAACTGTGAGCAGCCAATAATAGGTACTGCATATTCTGTGCATACTATTAGATCAACACAATGCACATACATTATGTATGTTAATTACCTGTGAATAACCCAACCAATCATATGTACGGCACATTATCAGATTAACATGATCGATTTTAATGTATATTGATGATATTAACCCTTTCTGGTCTTTGTCTTTTAATTTCTTTGGGATCTTTGTCTTCAAAAACAGACATGCATGTGTGTGTGTGAGTCCAGTGATTCCAGTACGCTTCCCGCTCACGGCCACCAACACCTGTTAATATTATCTGAACCGGTTATGGGCCTCCCCTAAGTCGACTCAGCCTCAAAAGAGTACTTGGTACGGTTTGTAAACATATCTACTGGGGAGACAAATGTGGTCGGGCGTGGGGTGCTGGCCACCGACCCCCTCGTGTGCCACAGTTGCGGCCTTGATAGGTGCTGCTCGCTAACAGCACTTGACCCCGAAAGTCTGTTTCGGCTATACGGGGGATTTTTGTCTTTGCTGTGTGTATGTATGTGTGTGTGTATGTATGTGTGTGTGTATGTATGTGTGTGTGTATGTATGTGTGTGTGTATGTATGTGTGTGTGTATGTATGTGTGTGTGTATGTATGTGTGTGTGTATGTATGTGTGTGTGTATGTATGTGTGTGTATGTATGTGTGTGTGTATGTATGTGTGTGTGTATGTATGTGTGTGTATGTATGTGTGAAAAGACGTAACGAGGAACATGCGGTGGAACAAAATAACGTTATGTTTATTCAGGTCTGGTCCAAACATCATGTAACACAAAGCACCGAAGGCTGCGTATTGGCAGCTCCTACTTATACAATGGGCTTCGTGTGTCAATGCACTGACATGGTTTTAAAAATGTTGTTGTTTTTTTACATGCGCTTTTATTTAACTCACTCTGTGTGTTGTATCGTCAACTCTGTCTGTTGTCGTATCCTCAAATCTTGTAACTCAATTTTAACCCACTTCCCCATGGCGTATCGACTGCAAACTTGGTATATGTGTAATAAAAGGACTCAGACGCTTCTCGCTGACTCCG